GATAAACTCAAATATATTTCATTATGAATTGGATATAATATTCTTTTCTAAGCAACCTTGCAAGCTATTAACTTGCTAGTCACGGGGATCGAGGAGCTATTTGTTATATGGGACGGGGGGCGGTGGAAGACAAATTAAAAAAAAAAAATATTTTTTAATTTATACTTTATAGATTATTTGAAAATTTTGAAAAAAGTAAGAGCATGACTCTCGGCGCCCCTCCCCCTCCCCTACCGTTGCCCCATTCTCTGGGTTAGAGTGCACACACGTAAAATTTAACTTCAGAATCAGATTCGTCAGCCCAAAAATGTAATATGTTAAAATTTTCAAAAGATTTCATTAACAAATAACAAATTTATGAATTTTTTCCAAAAAACTACATTCTGGGCACACAGTGTAAGGGTTCTATGAAAAGATTGCGATAAATTAATGTTATCCTTTTATTAACTTAATTTTGTTGATTTAACTTAGTTTTGTTGTAATGTATATACTTTTATATTTTATTTTATGAGATTTCATATGTATACGTGCATTGTAATAGTATTAAACGATGTTAATCAGAAAAGAAAAAAAAAAGATCTCTAATGTAAAATCGGTGGCATCAAAATTTAATGAGTTTTTCGTAAATAATGGTCCAAACTTAGCCAGTAAAATTAAACACACTCCTGTACACTACTTGAACCATCTATAGAAGTCGGATTCAACTTAGCATTTAAAAAGCTCACTAGTAAAGAACTTTATGACTCAACAAAAAAACAAAATTTAAATAAAGCAACAGGCTATGATTCTATTTCAGCAAGCATAGTCAAAGACTGCTATGAACTTATTAAAGATGTTTTATTAGATATTTTTAACAAATCGCTTATAACAGGTGTTTTTCTAGATGAAAATGAATAACTCAACTAAAAGTTGCAATTATTGCACCGATTTTTAAATTAGGAGATAAAAGTCTGGTTACAAATTATCAACATATATCGGTGTTACCTGTTTTTTCAAAAATCTTCGAACGTATCATGTATAATAGGATATTTGCATTTTTGAATGATAACAATCTTTTTTATTATAACCAATATGGTTTTTGATTAAATTACTCTACGGAACATGCACTTATACAACTTGTAAAGTTATCAGTGGAGCATCTTCTCATAACAAATTCACTTTAAGTATATTCCTAGACTTTTCAAAAGCATTTGACACCGTTAACCATCAGATTTTATTAAAAAGACTAAAGTATTATGGAATAAGCCACGAATACCATAAATGGTTTACCACTTACTTAACTGATCGAAAGCAGTTTATTTCTCTATATGACGGTTTTCTTAAGTCCGCTGCTGTTCTTAATCTATGTCAACGATCTATATAAAGCATCAAATATTATGTCTACTATTATGTTTGTAGACGACACCACTTTATCCTATTCTCACAGCATTGTAACATTATCTCTTTATTTCAAGTAGCAAATAATGAGCTAGAACAAATATTAAACTGGCTTATTGCTAACAGCCTCTTTAAACACTAAAAAAAAAGTTTTTCTTATTTCATTCTTAGGAACATATATATATATATTCCTTAGAATGGAATATAAACGAAAGTTTCAATATATTCCAAAATCCTTACCAAAGCTATATAAAAAATAACATCAAAATTGAGCGCTCATTGACAAATAAATTACATGGTATTTTAATAAATGAAAACTTATCCTGGAGAGATCATATTAAACATATTAGCAATATAATCTCAAGAAATATTGGCATTTTATATAAAACCAGACAAATCTTAGACAAATCAACACTAACTCAGCTATATTTTGCATTCATAAATAGTTATTCATCTTATGGTAATATTATTTGGTGTAGTACAAATAAATCTAAACTCGAATGTCTCCTTAAACAACAGAATCATGTAGTACGCATTATTCATTTTCAAAATCGCTTCACAAATGATAAACCTCTTCTAAAAAGCATGAGGGCACTTGATATTTATGAATGAAATATTTTCAAAATTTCACAATTTATGTTTCAACATCAGTCAAAAAAAAACGCCGAAGGTTTTTGTAAATATTTTCCCTAAAACATTAAACCGGTACAATATTCGATCTACCGGAAGATTGAAAAAACCTTTCCGTACATCAAAACTTATGACCTTCACCATTTTCTATCGTGGTCCAATGCTTTGGAACCATTTTACAAGCCATGATTTTTTCTAACAATACACTTTTATTTCTTTACTGATGATAAGATTTATTACTGATGATAAGATTTTATCTTCTTCAGGTTCTCCGGTCTTGTAACTACTATAGATAATGAAATGTACTTGTATTTAATATTTTTAAATATTTTATCGGAAATTACTTTTAATTGTAAACGGTTGCTTGACAAAAATAAATAGATAAAAATAAATAAATAAGTATTAAGTTTTAATTAAATTTTTAAATTTCAGACCACTCACAACTAAATTGGACCCAATTTTTAAGAAAATAAAAGTTTGGATGCAAAATATTTTTTCGTATAAGAAAAAAAGTTGCCTCTTTAATCTGTGTTAAACGCGCAAACTTAACTACTTACCTAAGCATATTAATTACTTAAGTGTCTTAGCAGCCGTGGCGCAGCGGTAGCGCACTTGCCTCTGAAACATTAGATCCTTGGTTCAAACCCCACCTCTGGGCGAGTTTAGCGACATCGGTTAGGAAGGAGGCGTGAACTTCCTATGCAAAAAACCTCCTATGCTTTTTTATGCAAAAAGCGCTGCGACTCTTTCTTGCCATTAACTCGATTTTAATAGCTACCGTGAGTTCTGTGCAAACACGTACGAATGATTAACGGCAGCAGCATTAAATTCGATTTTAAAATATTATAGGATGAATATAAATAAAAGAAATTTTGGCAGGTTTATTTGTAAAACAAGTGTTTTTGATATAGGAGGGAACAGAATGTATTTTGTTTTATTAAAGTTTATGGCCAATTTATTAGACCACTCAGATACACATTTGAGTACATTATTCATATCAGAAAGCAATATTAGAGTTTGATAAGAACAAATTCGTATCATCAGCGAATATAATACTTGAAGGATTAACTGCTTTACTTAAACCATTAATATAAATTAAAAAGATGGGAGGACCTAGAATAGAGCTTTGTGGAACACCACAGGTTATTTCAACATAGTCAATTTGAAGGCGACCGTTAAAGGTAGCAAGTTGCTTTCTATTTAATAAGGAACTATGAAACCACATTAGTATATTATTATTGATTTCATAGTATTTGAGCTTTCTAAGAAATATTTTATGGTCAACGGTGTGGAAAGCCTTAAAAAGCCTTAAAAAGAATAAAGACTCCTTACGTATGTTTTTTTCTTTAGTTATTACTCTTCTTGAACTATATTATGTTGCAATTAATTGATTTATGTTGAGCTATATTATGTTAATAATTAATTCAATTGTTGCGATCTCTTTATCTTTGTTAGAAACCCTCACACATACACATGTGGCGGGATAGCTCTGATGGTTAGAGCGTTAAAGGAAAAGTTAAAACCCGGACTGTTGAGCGATACGAGTTCAAATCCCGCCACCGCCAACTCAGCGCTTGAGTAGTACTTCGGTGCGCAAAAATGTTGGTCAATAACGGACGCTACTTTTGATTAGTCTTAATGACTATTTGTGGCTGTTCCTATGCTAAGCCAACAATATCTTTGGATATAAGAACATTGTATAGAAAAATATAGCATGAAAACTAAAATTAAAAAAAAAAAAATACACACACACATATATATATTATATATATATATATATATATATATATATATATATATTCTTTAAATTCTGACAGGAGCAAGCAGAAGACAATATATCTTATCCTCTTGCTTCTTATGTAGTGAAATAGCTTACTTTACTTGCACGTTTAAATTCATAAAATATATAAGTATAAAATTAGTTCTTAGATTTTTAAGAGTTAAACATATATATACATATTAGTAAATATATAACAAGATAAATAATAAAAAAGCGAGTTAAATATACAAAGAAATATTTTTACTGGTTAGATTTAAAAAAATTTGTTAAATATTGTTTCACTGTTTTTTTAAAAGCTTTAATTGTGATAATAGATTTTATGTGATTATTCGGGATTGATTTCCACAGACGTTGACCACGATAAGTAATTGAGTAGTCCAATTTTTAAGTGTTGTTGACGGAATGTAAAAATTGTAAACAGAATGTCTTGTTTAAGTATTTGTGATTAATTAGAGTGAAATATTGCTGAAAGTATGACGCATGTTATTGTGAAGTTTAAATATAAACAATAAATTTTGATAAATATTTAGATCGTATACATTTAAAGGCTTAGTTTCTTTTAGTAAAGTTTTGGCGTATGCATATTTATTTGCATTAAAAATTAACTTGTTTTTGTTTGCTATAATTTCTTTATAATGAATGCGACTGATTACTTGCACGAGCTATTACAGTAACTTATAATGCTATAGATAAATAAAAAATATAAACTTTTTAGGAACATATTATTTAAAAAGGTGCCTTGTTTTGAACATGACTCCCATTTTATTGGTTTTCATTCGCCTTAAAGTTGAAGAGATTTTATTTTCTATTAATTTGATATAATTTTTTCAGATTTAAAAGTTCGTCAAATAATATGCCTAAAATTTTTATTAATTTTCATTCGCCTTACAAAATGAACATACATTTTGTGTTCAGATTTGAAAAGCTTACAGCTTTTCAAATCTTCTATCATGTGATCAGATATATGTTTTACAACACTTTTGAATACGTCCAACACAAGTAGAATCAGAAAGTTAAATTTTTTTATGAGTGAAAATGTATATCCTTTTGATATTGAAATGTTTCTCGGGCTGCATAAAAAAGTACACGGGTCAAATGTCGCCCCCGGGCAAAAAAATTAAATACGGAACAAATTACAGATTTAAATTCACACAAGTTAATCTCGATATAACAAATTAAGCAAGTAAAGTTACATATTCCGGATTCTTGAACAGTAAAGCCTCGTGTTATCAAAAATGTATACAACTGAAACAGCGAGCATATTCGCCTATACTCATCTGCTTTAGTCTTCTATCATGCAAGGGAAAAAAGAAATGGAAATTCGAAAATTGATTTTATCAATGCTGTGAAAATGAGTTTCTTCAGTCATTAATCAGTTATGGCAACTCCAAATTCCAAAAAATCAGAAAAGAAAACAAGTTTTTTTGGTGGAATTTTTGGAGGTGCAAATCGGAGAACCGGCAAAAGTAAGGATAGAATTTATAGTCGTTATAAAACAAATTAGAGGACAATCCAATCTAACATTCATTATTTAAACTAGTTAATTCCTATAAAAGCAGTATTGAAATTTAAGCAAATTAGTGTTTTATTTATTTGCTAATAAAGTATTGAGTTGATTAAGGAAAGTATTGAGATATTTACTATACAAGTTTCTCAATCAAATATTTCATCACTAGCCATTCCACAGGATTTTTGTTGTTGTTGACATATTTATATATGATTAACACAGTTGTATAGAGCTAAAAAAGACTGTAAAAAAATTAAGGGTCTTTCAACTTTAGAAATAATTGGAATCGAAGTTTTTGCATTTTGTGTGTTAATAAAACTGATGATTTTTTGACAAAAAATTTGCTGTGAAATTTTGACAAAAGCAAAATTTCACAGCAAATTTTTAACTATAAAAAATTTGCTGTGAAATAGCACCAAAATAAAATACAACATCAAAAATCTAATCAAATGATATGCAAAAGATAAAAAGCATAATATTATTTCTATAACATATATTTCTTATAAACATACTTTCTACACAAAATCCTAAGTACCAATTCTTCAAAAAAGCATTAATAAATACTCTGAATTGCACTTTTTACAGGAAACTTTTTTCAAAAAAGTGTTTTTTTGTTTAATAAACTGACCTAAAAGTTTTTAGAACTTAGAAATGAGAACTAGGTGAAAACTAAGAAATTATGTGTAAATGTTAAAAATGTTCCTCATTCCATTAAATTCCTTATCCTTTTTTTAGTCTAATATAGAAATTTTCAAACAAGTTTGATGTGTTTTGGTACTTAGGAATCCTTACCTATAAAAACTTTGTTTGAAAAGGTATTCCCAAATCAAGTTTTTTTTGTCAATAGTGGCCTTTAGACATAAATAATATATAAGAGAAGCCATATAAAACATAGTACTTTGTATGACACAGTGGGAAAAATCGAATTTTTTGTGCCAAGATTATTTTCGTAGTTTTTTTTATTATTAGAATAGCTATATATATAAAATGCATGAATAAAGTAATACCCATGTAATTACATAATATAAAAAAAATAATAATAAAAAAAGTAAGTTTTGGTGAAAAATACGAAATATTTTTAATGGACAAGACAACTTTTATCAGTGTAATATCAAAAATATTACTTTTCAATGCATGTATTTGTCATAATATAACTTTTTTAAATATATATATTATAACAGTAATGAAAGATTTTGTAGGTATTCTTTGTGTACAAAACATCTTCTTTACATGTTCAGTATTTCATCAACTAACCATTAACCGAAGAATATTTTGTTATAATTTTTTTATTGCAAAAAGTAGCAAAATATTTATGATGCTAGGCTATATACATACATTTAGCATGAGATTTACATAATCAAATGTTTGAATAATATTGGAGGATGGTTTATCTGATACCTAATAGTAAAGGTTAGTAGCAAAAAAAATATCAAAAACTGTTCGTTTTCAATGCATAAAAGGTAATGATTACACTTATGTAAAATTGTTTTTAAAAGTCTGAGTGAAAAGCATTGAAATAATTAAAGTTAGATATTTTAAAATGAAAGTCAATAAAGTAAATTTAAAACAATACAAAAAAATAGCTTAAGAAAATTGACAAATAAAAAAATGCAAAATAGCGTTTTGGAACACATGTCAAATTCACGTGTAAATAAATGCATAAAATAACGCTTAAAGTAATATTTAATGTTTTTTTAACTAGATATTTTCTTTAATAAACATGTCTTCATCATTATAACAAATTTTCACCATGCAATGCCGACATTGATTTTTTGTTATTTTGGCACACTCTGTCCCACTGTTCATTATTGTAAAGAAGTTGAGTCAAACTAATTTATGCAAAAAACCTCAAGGTTCAATTATAAAAAAAGAAATAAGAGAGTAAAGTTCATGAAAGTTATGTGTTTTTTGTCTTACGTCAAATATTTTTTGTTGTGCTGTGAAATTGCTATCATTAATAAAACATTTTAAAATGAGTTTATTGTAAATTTGTGAATTTAAGTTGCTTTAATACTCCTTTTTTTATCTGTGAGCTGTTTAAATCTTCATTGGTTTCCAATACAAAAATTAGTTACATTTAAACACTTTTCATTCAATAAACAATTTTACTGTACAACACCAAAAAAAAAAAAAAAATTTAAAAACTAGACTTAAAATAGATAGGTGTAAGATTTTTGCCTTTATGGCACATCACAGGCATCATGTTGCAACATCCAGAAAAAGTCTCCTAATATTGCAGGTGAATATTTTCTATTGTAACATTTTTCTATTGCAGCAAGGTCTTGATTGAACCACTCTCCATGCTTATCACATACACTATTTTCCAAGAAAAAGTCCATATGTGACATCAATTTCTCCTAACTAACTGGATTTTTTGTTTCAGGAATTTCTGCATATATAGGGCCTATGCGTATATTTAAGAATGTTTTTCAACATGTTTATTGAAGATCATCCATGGTCTGATCAAACTGATCACTATCTATGAATTGTCTTATGTCAGACCTCACAAAAATTCACTCCTTACTCTCAAGTCTTTATACAAAAAAAAAAAGAAGGGAAAAAAGATATTTATTAATTTTTCAAACATTTTCCCACCCGCCCTAAGCTTATTAACCCCCCCCCCTCCCCTCCTCTTCCTGTTTATTAATTTTTACTTGTTATTAACAAAAAATTTATGCCTCAAAACTAAAAAGAAAAATTCAGTGAAAATCAGCCTTAAAAATTAGAAAAAATTTTTTTCAGTCACTGATAAAAACAAAAATTTTCATTTTAAATTTTAGTATTAAAAATAGTAAATCTTGATTTGTCGAAAACGAGCTTTTGATTTATTTAATACCAAAGTATATTAGCATATTAAATCCTATTTAAATTATAATAAAACAGCTGTTAAAAAACGCGTATTTGATGGCAAGTCACACTAAAGTTAAATAGTTTCATGCATGTTTTGTAAAAAATATAAGTTAAATGAGTCTCTAATTCAAAATATAATTGCTGTTCATACAAGCTCTTTGTATCTAATAGCAATCAAACTTTTTTTATTTAAAACTTGAGCAAATATAATTTTAAATAATTATTAAGTTAAAAGTTGAATGCATAAGTTTCTGTGTCCTCATTTTTATTTTATCGCCATTATTTTATAATTTTTTAACATTGTGTTTATGCAATATCCTGTGTTTCCTGCAAGTAAATTCTTTCGATGCTAGTGTAAAAATAAATAGCAACTATTTTTTAACAGGAGTTTTCCTTGTGACTCCTGAGGACAGAAGGTCTTTGGTATTATAAAATCAGGTGTTTATTAAATTTCTACAAGCTTTTTAACTTAAAATTAAGCTTGTTAACCAGGCATATATGACAAAAGTTAATTACGTTTATTGTTATGCCTATGTTATTTTAGGTATTAGGTTAAGCAATAATTAAATATTTTGTTTTTAAATGAAATTGGGTTCTCACAAGCAACTCTGTTGAGTTTTTATAAAATGTAATGGTGTTTAGGCTCTGTGTTAAGGGGCCACCTCAAGTCTGAATTTTGCAATATGACCCTGAATGTTAAAAAAAAGTCTTAAATTATAGCATGTTGGATTTTAAAAGAAACAAAGTTACAATTATTTTATAAAAAAAATAATTATTTTGGATTTTACAGCATAGAAAACAACATTTTTTACCTTAAAATAAAAAAGTACATTTTTACAAAGTTCTTTGATTATATCAATTTTTTTCTTATGTTTTTTATAAAATGATGATTTTTTTTTTAGTATTTAGAGGCATTTTATAACGCATAGTTTAAAAATTTGGATTGTTTTTATTTTCTTTTTTTCGTAGTTGAAATGTTTTTTGTAAACCTAAACCTTAATGCAGAGTGAGAAATGCTTGCTTCATAAGCAAGAAGTTCCGAGTTTGATCCCCACCACATTTGATACCAATATGCTCCATAATTTATATTTTATTTTCATAGTTTAATTGACTTCTTTATTGATTTTATATAAGATTTTTTAATTACTTCTTAAGGTACACATTTCATTCATGCAATTCATATTCTATTTGTTTGCAAAAGTCTGATAAAATTTATTTACGCTCTTGTAACCAAAAAGTTTTGGCCATTTCATTTGTTCAAAATGTTGCAGCTGTGCAAATTTTTCCAACTTATAATTGAAAAATAGCTCAATATAATTAAACATAAATTTACATAATTTGATTACAATTTATTAATCTGATTGTTCAATGAAAATTTAAAATGTGCAAGCGTTATGTATGATGTGTTTATCAATATTGCTCAAAGTTTGATCTTGAACAATATTTGTGATGCATTAAGAATTTTCAGAAAAAATTAGGTTCAATATATAACCAGTTATGTAGTTCTCAGAATTAAATGATGACTGTGTAACATTTTGAATCAGTTATACTTTATTTATTGTATCTATAAATGTTTGGGTCTGTTAATTAGAATTAGTATAAGACTAGAAATAATATTTTTATCAATTAATTTTTTACAGCAGTTAATGCATTATTGATTTTATGATTAGTTAATTATGATGAGTCGCCATGGGGATATATACATAAAGCTAAAACTAAAGTTTTAGTTGAGTTATTGGGTAATTGTTGTGTAAATTTCATAAAGTCATTTCATAAAGGTTAAATTAATTAATAGATGAAATAAAAAAACTTTTTTTTTTTCAATGATTTTGTAATTTCTGATTCCAAAATACTTTGATTATTATTTTATTATGCATTTTTCAACATCATTTTTTTTTTAATAGATTTTAATTACATTCTAATTCAAAAGGTGTAATTTTTAACTTTCATGATTACAAGCTTGATGTATTACTATTACTACTCTTACATTTGAAAAGAAAAATGTTTATACAATTACAATTGTATAAAAAATTGTATAAAAATATACAATTTTTTCATATATTATTTACCCAAAACTAGAGTTTTATGTTCTAATTTTAGTTCTAGTTCTACCCAGTGGGCATAGCACACTGGGTAGAATTAGAACCTAAAAAAGGCAACTTTTGAACATTCCAAAGACATTTAAAAGAGGTCTAAAACGTTCAAAAGTTGTCTTTTTTATGCCCAGTGTCCACTGAGTAGTATAATTTTTAAAATATGAATAATCTTTGATCATTAAATCATCAACTATCAAACAGCATAATATCAATATAAAAACATAATATAAGGCTTATATGTAATACTGTTTTCATATATAATTTACATGTTTTTTTTCTATTCTTAATAAAGCATATTAAGAAATACTATTAAAGTATAGTATTTTATTAGAGTACAAAATTGTTAAAATGTTCGTTTTTATTACGTTTTATGCAAGACTGTAACTGTTAGAAAAAATATTTTAAGAAAATAGAAATTCATTAAATAATTCATTTAACAAATTAGTCAAAAAATAAATGAATAAGATTTGTCTACAGTAAAAAAAATATGCATTCTATTCCTTTTAAAAACCGAGAGCCGCTTGAATTTTGTGACTAAGGCTCATCAAAAAACAGCAACTGGCTCTGGCTCAGCTCCACAAGCCTGATTGATACAATCAATTTTTAGAAAATTTAAAGTTAATAATCATCATCACATTGTGTTAGAGTTGACAAAAAACATTTTTTTCTATTGTTTTTAGGGTGTTTTTTTTTTTAGTTGCAATCTTTTAGTTTTTTTTTTTTTTGACATAAATTTTGAAATGGTTTTTTTTTTAATTCTATTATACTCTTAGTATATGATCATTATTAGCACAAATATATGTATCACAACCAATTTTAAGGTTTCTTTTTCTAGGGATACTGTATGGAAATGTTTATTTTTCATTTCTATATATAATGAGTGTAACACAGTAGTTAGAAAGTTGTACCTACTAACTGCTGTGTTATGCTCATATATAGAAACTATACTTTTCCTATAAAAAAAATTACTATTTTAATTTTGATTGTGTAAATATATTAGTATATAAAACCATGCCATTTTAACATCAAATGCTAAAAAAAAAAAGCAATCTGTTAACATTGTTTATTTTTTTTGAGCATTTGAAATTTTAATCTTACATTGTTTGTTTGTTATACTTGTCAAAAAATAATTATTGTGTGTAGACCCTTATAGAAAAAATGCCCTATACTGTACCTAATTTCCAGTAAAATAAAAATTTTTTTGAATTTTAATATTTTATTAGCTTAAAATGGTTATCAATTTAGTTGTATTAAGTGCTAAGTAGTGTTGTACAAATTAAAAAAGTGTAAAAATTTAAGCAAAAAAAAAAAGCATTAGTTTAGTAACTTCAATATGTATTTAAAATATGTAAGATATTATAAGTATATTTAAACTATATAAGATATTTTAAATGTATTTAGACTATATAAGATATTATAAATGTATTTAAACTATATAAGATATTATAAATGTATTTGAACTATATAAGATATTATAAGTGTATTTAAACTATATAAGATATTATAAATGTATTTAAATTATATAAGATATTAAAGTGTATTTAAACTATATAAGATATTTTAAATGTATTTAAACTATATACGATATTATAAATGTATTTAAACTATATAAAATATTATAAATGTAGCCAGCTGTAAAAAAAAGTACTACTGTAAATAATACATGAAAGTTTGAATTAAAAAATCATTTATGCAGTAGTATTGTGTTAATGTTACTGGGTTGTTGGACCTTCATCTGATGATTAATAATTTATTTATTTATAACTTTTTTATTGCATTTTTTACATATAGAGATTTTACTTTTACTTTTTTACATATAGAGGTTTCTACTTTTTCATTTGAGGTCCATTTTTATACATAATGTTATGGCAAAAGGAACAATTATCTCTTTCCATTTTGCTAATTTCAGGCCTCGGCAGGAGCAAATGAGTGCAAGAGCGGTGAATAGCTCTACTAAAATGTTTTTATATAATGAAAAGCATTGCAGTTTATTATGCAATATTATTTATGCAATTATGGTTAGTTTTTAAAGTAAATTTTTTAAATGGGTTTTTTTGTCTTAATTACAACAATAATGCTTTTCTTTTATAAACAACTTTGCAAATTTGACCATATTGTTGTTGATGTTATAGTTGTATTACACAGTATTTCACACCAAGGATTTTAGAAAGAAAATTTCTGCACTGTTAATTTGTGTTTGAAAAGAAAATAAGTTTTTCTTTTTTTATACTAATTCTGTTATAACTTTGGATTATAGTTATGTAATATTTATATTCACATTTATAATACTAAAATTCTGCTGTACTAAAAACAAAACAATTGTTGTAATATAAAATAACATATATTATAAAGTCAATAAGTTGTTAGCCATGTAACAAGTTGTTATATAGTTAAAAAATAATCTCAAGCACAAAAAAATCAGTGAATGTTACACACATACACACACACACACACACACACACACACACACACACACGCACATACACACACATACACACAAAATCATATTTTGCAAGCAGAAAAGGTCAAACTGAAACTGAACTTAATCTTTTTTATTCTGATTTTTTTCCTTATACAAAAAAATTATACTTTTGTGAGAGCCGTAAATTGCTCCCATAAAACACTTTAAGGGCAAGAGCTAAAGCTCTTGTTTCTTTGCAAGGCCTATAATTTGGTTTAAAAATAAATGAGCAACTGGGTTGTTTTTTTTTTTTTTTGGATTTTCAAAGATATCCTTTCTCTCATTATTTTTTTTTTAAGAATTTTTTAAAAAATAATGTTAAGAACCGGTTAAATAAAAAATGGCCTTGAGTATGCACAATATCAGACAATTGAACATAAATTAATCATAAAAGTCAACCTTAGCTAAAAACACTGAGTTCTAATTTTGTTTCTAAAGAGGGGTTAAAGACACTTGTCTTTTTATTTGTTCTGCTGTGTTATTGACGTTAATGTTAGTGTTTTTGATCTGCTCCTGGGACTTCATGATATTTCTATCAGCTACTACTTTTTGTTATAAAGAACATTATTTTTGAATTTTTCAACATAATCTGCTTTTCTAGATTTTTAATTTGAGATAATTTTCAGCTATTTCATCAGTTGTTGTTTTTTAATATATTTCAATGAAGTCTTTGACATATTCTTCTTGCATATTCTTCTTTTAATTATTTTGGTTTTATTTTTATTTCGTACCAAGTTTAAGAAGTTTTTGAAATAAATTTTGTTTAGTAATATTTAAATTTTGTTATGAATAATGATTAGGTTAAATTAGAATTTTAATTATTTTGTTTTACAAATTTTTAGTTCACTGAACACTTAAATTTAAAAATATGAAAAATTGAAAATGTTGCATTTACATTACCAGTTTTTATATACAAATATAATATTTTTTCATCTTTTTATTTTGAAGGTTTTAATAATTTTTTTGTTTTTTAAAAAATTTCTTTAGTATTAGTTTTTTTTACATTGTTGTTTTTATTTAGATTCATTAGTAAACTATGATTATGTTAAAGGAGTTGAAACTATTGAATATAGGAGAAAATCTGATGGAACTGTTAAACAACAAATTGTAGAAAAAAATTCTTATCAATCTTATAAAGCCCAGTATTTTAGAGGACATAGGTTTGAATTGTATCATAAACCAACTTGGTGTGACATTTGTCAAGAATTATCATGGGGTTTATATGCTCAATCTGCAAGATGCTGTTGTAAAATATTATGTTTTTTTACTTGCATATATAAGAAAAAACATTTTTAATTAAGTATAAAATTTTTATAAATATTTATAATTATTAGTTATAAATACTTATGATTTTTTTTTTTAATGCTTATAATTTCTTATAAATATTTATATAAATATTTATTACAATAATATTTTTATAAATAAAAATTTTATTAAAATAGTTATAATTTTTTGTTTCTTGTCTGTTGCTGTACTTGTGTATCTTTATTTCTAGTTTGTCGTTTTACTTGTCACTTAAAATGTGTAAATTCTGTGTCTTTGGATTGCCCAAAAGCACCATCAATAGAAAAATCATTTGATGAGATTACAAAAGAAGTTCAAGAAATATTAGTGAGTTTTATTTGGGTTTATTATGTATAATCTTCTATATTTTTTCAAATTTAATTTATTAGTAATAATCATTCCTATCAACTTTTACAGCTGAATAAAATTGTTAGAAAGTCTTATGTCTTATGTATTGATGTTTATATAGTTTTTATGTTTTTGATTTTCATTAGGATTTCCTTTATACATTTGTAAATCTTCACAAAATCTTATAACCTCATGAGTTTCTATAGCCCTAAAAAACATGTCTTCACAAACTTAGCTGGAATTTAACTTTAGAAACGTTTTTCAAAATTCTATTCAAATGTCTATAAGATTTTTTACTAGGGTGTTTTTTTGAGCTGATGCAATTGAAAATCCATAGTTTTTATTTTAGTGTATTGACAAGTTCAATGGATTTTATTCAAAGCTTTTCTCCAGCACAATATATAATTTAAATTTTTTACATATATATATATATATATATATATATATATATATATATATATATATATATATATATATATATATATATATATATATATATATATATATATATATATATTCATTGTTTCATTTACTAAAACAAAGATAAAAATTAAGATTTTTGTTATGAAAAGCTTTCTTTTTAGCTTAAAGAGAGTTTTAAAATTCTTTACAAACTAAGTTTTATTTAAGCTAGATTTTTGCTGAAAATGCAGAGGTAATTGCTTTACAAACTTATTTTCATTTGAGATTTTGAATTAAATTATGAAAAATTAATGACTTTGTTGAATTCAAATTGTTTGTTAGTATCATATTGTTTGCATATCATATTGAAACTTTTTTTACTTAAAAGATTGAATGTATTTTTCAAAATTCTTACAAAAGAATGGAAGATAAGGAACTTCAAGTGATATTTATTAAAAAAATAAATGAAGATGAAGACTCTGGTATTGTGTCTATTGAAAATTATATTAAAAAAGAGAATGATGAAAGAATATTGATGTCAAATCTTATTGAAGCAGAAGATCTTTCTGATAAAAGCTTAAATGATTCTTTTATTGATCTTGTTGATTCCTCTATAAGTGTAATAAATTTAATATTTTTATCTGTTTTATCAGAAAGATTATTATTTTATCAGAAAGATTATTGTTTTCATCAGAAAGATTATTTTATCAGGATTATTTTATCAGAAGGATTACAAGGGTTGAATTAAGCGATCGGGAATTTCAAAATCTGGAGAAATATGTGGTCTTAAAAAATTTAGTTTATGCAAACCTGTGTACTTTGTTTTTAAGGAGCAAATTATCATAAGTACTGCATTATAAAAGTAATAAAACTCTAATAGTATTATTATTTTTATAAAGCACTTAAAACTTTTAAAGTTCATTTTTTGTTCAAACAACATTAGTAATTCTAAACTTTAGTTAAAGTAAAAAGCATCTAGAAAAAAAATAGAGTGGATATTCAAATAACATTTAAAACTTATTAGGGAACTTAAACAACTTTATAAAAATGTACTGTATAAAAAGTTAAGCATTATGAAAAATGTTACTAATGGTCCGTAAAAACGCGCGTTAACTTTAAAATCAACCAATAAAAACTTTTTAATAGTTGATTTTGAAATTAATGCGCGTTTTTACGACCTATTAGTAACATAAAAACATTTTCATAATGCTAAACCTTTTATAAAGTACGTTTTTATAAAGTTGTTTAAGTGTATTTGTAAAAGTTCCTGAAGTTTTAAATAATATTTGCATATCCACTATATTTTTTCTAGATGCTTTTCTACTTTTATTAAAGTTTGGAATTACTAATGTTGTTTGAACAAAGAATGAACTTTAAAAGTTTTAAGTGCTTTATAAAAGTAATAATAATATTATAGTGTTATTACTTTTATAATGCAGTTAGTTACTAGAATGTTATTTCTTTTGCAGTCGTAAGTTTATTGTTTTATTTTTTATAACTTTTTCGCTAACAAATTTAAGTTGATTTGTCCCTTGGAAACAAAGAACATGGTTTTGCATGAGCTAAAATTTTAAAGGCCAGATATTTTTCCAGAAATTTCAATTCACAATCGCTTATTTCTACTCTTGGATTGTTTTATCAGAAGGATTATTATTTTATCAGATGAGTTATTAAATGAATGTTGGTTCAGTAATTCGATTAAAAGTTATCAAATATATTTGTATTTTATTTGTTTAATTTATGCAATGTTTTACATATAACCAGATGGAAAAAATAGTTAATACCCAAAAAAGTTAAATAAAAGTTTTAATGTTTTTTATGTTGTTAAAAAAAGTTATACTACATGTAACTATTAAAACCAAACTACAGTTAAAACTAAACAAATTATGCACAGTTAATTATCTGAAACGGTTGGAAAAAAAATAAAAACTAGAAAACAATAGTATATCAGTTTCATAATTTTGCGATTATTAAAAAATAATAATTACAATATTTTAATGGAGGTTAAACTAACTTTTGAATTAAATAACTTAATTAGAAACTTGAATTGACATACTTTATTTTATTTTGTTATATAGAACTTAATTTTTTTAATTTTTTCTTTCATTAGTTTAAAAAAAATCAAAATGATTATTTTGGTTAAAACAAACTTTATACTTCCCTTTTAACATACACCCTGAGTAGAATTTTTATCAAGTTTTTTTATTTAACTATCACCAGGAGGTAAAATTAGTTAGTAACAACTAGTATATATCAAAATATATCAATGGACATCCCCTGTTTTATTACACTAGGCTGTATCATTTTAATTTTAGCATTTTTAATAGCATTTAAAAAAAAACTAGATAAAAACTAGTGTTTGTTCCTTGGTTTTCTTTGATAATCAAGAATTTGTGGCAAAAAAGTTAGAATTCTATATCCGCATTTTAGACTTTTTACGTTTAATTTTTAATTAGCCATATTGTTTATCCTTTATGAGAATCATGGTATTTGTAATAAGAACTATGATGAACCACATAAAGGAAAAACTTGTTTATTTAGTGTTTAAATAAAAGCTATTAATGATTTTTCTTTGGATGTTATAAAATGTGAAATTGTGGCATGGATACTTTACAAAAGTTTTTTATTCCTGTGGTTTTCTGTCTCAAAGAATGTCATAAAATATCATTGAAGTTAATAGCAAATTTTGATTTTGTTGCAGTGTGTATAACAAGAAGTGTTTTTAATAGAACTTTTTTAATTACAATTGCACAAGCAAGTAATGATGATATTTTTTATAGTTTTCTTATAATGTAATTTTTAAGTATAGACAAAATCTTTTAATGCTTATTCAAGCATTAAAAGGTTTTGTCTCTATACTTAAAAATATTGTTAATCAACACCTTCAAATATGCTTTAAACAAGCAACCTAAAAATTTTTTTAAGTTGCTTGTTTAAAGTTTAAAATTTGTTTGTTAAAAATTTTTTTAGGTTACTTTGTATTTCAAACTATTTTAACTTGGTTATCACTGTTTCTTTGCTGGAGTATCTGGCTACTGAGGTTCACACAATGTTTGATTGATACAATTTTAAAGTGTTATAAAGCACCTGTGTTTTAATTTCTTCGTTCTAATCTTCAGTTTCTTCTAAAAACATATGCAGAAATTCAGTGTTTTTTTATACTATTTTTTATACTTATAATTAAAAGTTATTTATAAAGTTGTATAAAAACATTTACACAGCAAAATCACAGCAAAATTTAAAAAATTATAACCTGTAAATATTTTACATTACGACAACTGAGCGTTTTCAAAAAATAATTTTTTTAGTTTGCAAAAATCATATTTTGAGCTTAAGTGATCATTTTAGCAATGTTATAAGTCATTTAAAGAATTATTAAAACATTTTTATATAATTCACTCAATCTGGTCAAAATCCGGTCTCCCTCCCCCTACCTAAAAAAAATAAGAAGGCGGAGGGGGACAGTATTTTTGGACTTACTCAAAAATTTCCTGTAAATGCCCCTGGTATATCTATGATACACCTATACTTTATATAGGAAATAGGATTTATAAATTTATAAACACACTGAAGGAATTTATATTATATACAGTAAAGTATGTTAAAGGATTACAATCTTTGTTTATATATATATATATATATATATATATATATAATATATATATATATATATATATATATATATATATATATATATATATATATATATATATATATATATATATATATATATATATATATAAGGGTTCGGACTGTCTGCACAGATATGAGCAGACAGTGTAATTTGTTGGCGCAGATGTCGGCGCCAACAAAATTTACTGCTTTGCAGACAATTTTTTGAAATCAACAAAAAATGTTTTAAACTTAAAAAATGTTTTAAGTAATATTTTAACTTTATTATAAATTCAATGATTAGTAACAATAGGAGTTTTCAAAGATTTTTAAGTAATAAAAAAAAATAATGCTGGCACTTATTCGGTGATTTCTGGACATTCAATTTCATTAAGAATTGCATCTTTTCAAGAATGTAATCAGTCTTGTCATTTGTCCATCAGCACACTATTGGTATACAAGAATACCAGCTTTTCAACTCTCTCTCTCATTCGTAAGACGATTTCTTAGTCGCAAGTGAATTAATCAAAAGGTTAACCAAGCTCTTTCTGCTGTAGCCAATGAGCAGATCATTTCGTTAATAGGCTTAGCAATTTCATAAAAAGCAATAATTTTTCATATCGCAACTGATAATGTTCCAATAATTTTGCGTGTTCATCTTGAATATTGTTTCCTTTCTTCTCTAAGGCAGCGCAGCCATTTCTCTTTATAAAAGCAATCAATTCGTCCTCAGCAGTGTCAGCAATTTCAGGTTTGACCTTTTCGGAGAATTTAACTGTAGCAGTGATAAAATCATTTTTATCTTCATTCAAATATAAACCTTCTGCTGCATTTTTGGGTGTTAATACGAAAGCAATTCCAATACCTGGTGTAAAGAGAAAATTGAGGGGAGATTGCACTTTTTGTTGTATCTCTTTATCGTCCATATAAGAATTGTACATTTGACCAAAGTAATCATACACGAGAGACTATGGAGCTTCATCACTTTCTAGCTTTCCGATCACATTGGAAGGAAATTCAATGCTTTTGACAAGCTTAGTCCCAAAATGGGTTAGATTTTATCAACTCTATAACAGCAACAGATGTATTCTTTAGTTGAATTTCCTTCAGTAATGTACTTTCTTCGTCTACCAACTTAATAAGATTGTATTTTGATAGCTAGAGACTGCTCAATGATTTATAATAACTAAACCATCATGTAGATACAGGCATGGACAATGAAAGAGAAATATTTGCTGCAATTCGTCTTTCATCAAACTTTGCTTTCATGATGTAACAATTTTTCACATATTTGATGATTTTCTCTGCATTTTTTACTGTTTTTGTGGCCTCAGTTGTAGAAACTATGTCTTTCACAAGCTAGTTGACTCCATGAGCTCCGCATCTGCTAGCCGAGATGTGTGGATATTTCTCCTCGATGATCCTCCATGCTGATTTCATAACAGGAGCGTTGTCGCTTATGACACTGGTAAATTTTTGTGACTCAATCTTCTCAATAACTTGTAAGATTGTCGCGGCGACTGCAGATGAATTTTTGAATGATTCCAGGTGTATTTATCGAGGTGTAAAAAAAAGGCTTCTGATCGGGTGCTTTAATACAAAAATTCACTATGTGATTGCCTCTTATTGTTTGTCTAGCCGTCAGACATCAGTGTTAAGTTTGTTTCAGAATTCAAAATTTCATTTACAAAAGTAGAACATTTTGTGTATTGTTTCTCAAGCAGAGATCCTGATAAGGCTTTAGCATTTGGGATGACAGATGCGTACAATGGATTGAGCGACTTAACAAAATCCTTAAAGGCCTCTGATTCGACTAAACAAAATGATATACCTGTACAGTAAAAGAAATTAGCAAGCTACGTGTAGATATCATTTTTGAGTTCTTCATTAATTGGTGGATGTACACTCTGCGTCGGTTTCCGAACCCTAATATATATATATATATATATATATATATATATATATATATATATATATATATATATATATATATATATATATATATATATATATATATATCAATGAAAATAAAGATTGTGTATATAATATATAAAGACTTGAAAGATCTTTTCTTTCTTAAAATAATTTTTTTTTTTTATTAAAAATAAATAATAAAATTTAATATCTCATTTTACATTTACATAGCAAATGAATGTAAATTGAGTTTTGTTAAATGATTCACTGTACCTTAGTAAAGGAATACAATGAATCATCATTACCTTGGATACAGTGAATCAATACACTGCAAATTAATCAAAGTTAACTTAAGGGTAGATCTAGGCTTTAAAGGATAGGCACTAAAAAATTGTAATATACTAGGTTGGTTGAAAAGTTCGCGGAGCGGCACCTATGTTGCAGTAGTAGAAACAAATTTATAACTGTATTAAACGTATTCATTCTTCGTATGAACGCATAAAAAATTTCAAGTCGATATGTCATTTCAGTCTTTGTTTACAAGCTATTGAAATTAGACGTGTCATAGTATTTTTTAAAATGGAAAATATTGAACATCGTGCTGTAATAAAGTTCTTTGTGAAAAAAGGTTTAAAGCCCATGGAAATTCATAATGAAATGGTAAATGTGTTGGGTGATGATGCTCCTTCAAAAACAACAGTATGCAAATGGGCTGCGGAGTTTCAACGTGGGCGTTCAAGCCTTGAAGATGACCCTCGCTCTGGACGTCCAAAAAGTGCTACTACTGAAGAAACGATTAATGCTGTGCATGACATGTTTATGGATGATAGACGATTGACCAAACGTGAAATTGCTGAGGCTGTGGGCATCTCAGATGAACGGGTATTACACATCTTGCACGATGAATTACGTCTGAGAAAGCTGTTGGCAAGATGGGTGCCGCATTCGCTAACTCTGGATCAGAAACGCACTCGAGTAAAACTTTCTCAAGAACATTTGGCCCGTTTTCAAAAGAATAAAACAGATTTTGTGCGTCGATTCGTAACCATGGATGAGACTTGGGTTTACCACTATGATCCGAAGCTGCGACAACAAACTGCAGAGTGGACAGAACCCGGTTGTTCAGCTCCGAAGCAAGTAAAGGCGTCAAAATCGTCAAAGAAGGTTATGGCATCAGTTTTTTGGGATGCGAAAGGAATTTTATTAATAGATTACCTTCAAACCGGTAAAACGATAACAGGTGAATATTATAAAAATCTTTTGGACCAGTTGGATAAAAAAATTCGTGAGAAAAGACCTGGTTTGCTGCATAAAAAAATCATTTATCACCAGGACAACGCACCTGCTCATATCAGCGATGTTGCAAAGGCGAAATTGGTCGAATTAAAGTACGAACGCTTGGAACATCCACCCTATTCACCAGATCTGGCTCCGTCCGACTTCCACCTCTTTCCACATCTCAAAAAATTTCTACGTGGAAAGCGTTTCTCATCACATGAAGAAGTCATTGCAGCCGTAAATGGGTATTTTGAAGGCCTTCCGGAATCGCACTTCAGAGATGGGATACATGAATTGGAGAATCGTTGGAAAAAGTGTATTGCTCTTAAGGGAGAATATACTGAAGAATAAAGTCATTTTTTGAATCATAAAATTGTTTTTTCATTTCCGCTCCGCGAACTTTTCAACCAACCTAGTATTTAAACATATATGTGGTAATTAGATTATTTTTAAACAATGTTTTGAATATTGTGGGAGGGGGAGGGGAGTGTTGTGTTTGTAAAATTTAACTAAACATCATTTTTAGGAATTTGTTTTTGTTTTTGAAAGATAATTTTATATTTAAAATTAAATAAAAAACAAAGCCAAGCTTATATATTAGTCCTAACTAGCTCTGTCCAAAGGATGTAACTAGTAGTTTTAGTTAATTATCCCAGGGTTTTCTTGATTATTTAATAGTAAGGTAAATATTCTCATTGTCCAAAAATAATGAGACAGAAAGATGGGTTTTATTTGCAAGATGTTGCTTTTTTTTAAATTTCGCTGATTTTGAATGACTATTATCTGTTAAAAATAACTTTAAAACCTCTAGTTTGATATCACATTGTTGTGTGTTCGATCCTTTTGTGTGGAGGTAGATCTGTGTATCATTTATTTCTTGAAGGACTGACTCCCGCGAAAATGATTGCAATGCAACCAAAAACCGTCTCACTGTTTTATTGCTCAATTACCTTTTACCAAGTTGAACAAATAACTTTTACCAAGTTGTACAAATAACTTTTACCAATGAAATCAACAAAGGTTTTTGCAATATACACTTGGTTTCCATTAATTCCAATGTAGCGTAAAACTTGGCTTATTTTATATTTGTGAGAAGTATCGGGGATGCTATCAAACACCAATACTTAATTTCTAAAACCTGATCGATGACTTCTTTTTTAACTTTTTTTCCGAAAATTTCAATTTGTTTTGAATGGTAGGTAGACAAGGTAGTTAGATTATTTTCTAAGTTTGATTCTTAGGGTGACTTCACATAGCATGGTGTCATATTTTGCCAACAAATGAATTAATTCTAAAAAATTTCCTCTATCTCCTTTTCTCTATCTTAATTTATATTGAAATACATATTTAATAATGTATTTTAAGTCTCAAATTACTGGACCGCTTTGGACTGCAAAAGTATTCGACTATATAAGTGAAATTTTAACTAAAAAAAGTACTTTAAATACCCCGTCATTTGAAATCATTTTATTTGACATAAATTACATGCAAAATAGTGTTGTAATAACTCATTTGAAAGATAATACTTGATTTTGTTAATTTATACAATAAAAAAAAGTTTTAAAATTAACATCTCTTCCATGCTTATTAGTAACACAAAAAATACTATCAAATTAAAAAAAATAATTTTGAAAAAAATATAAATTTTTTTTTTTTTAATTCTACAGCTTAGAAGCATATGGCATGATAATTATACAAAAATTTATACATTTTATAAAAGCTGAATGTTTAAGCTACAAAATGGTACATACTAATGTAATTTTTGAAGATGTTTTTTTTTTTTTTAAATTTTGTCCACTACTTGGCCCACTATGCTTTAGTGGCTTTCATGACCTTGAGGAGGTGAATTAAAATAAATTAAAAAGTAATAAAAAATACAAATATTTAAGATATTTTTTAACCAAATACAATGCAAATACAATTACGCCAATTTAGCCCATAACTACCAAATATATATTTGACCCCAACTCTGACCATTGGTTGCCTATGTATTTAAAATGAATTCAGGCAAATACCCTAAATGAATGAATAGTATTTTTCTTCATCCTTTGCTGCAGTTAACATTGTAAGCAGTCCCTTCTTGATTTAAAAGTTATTAGTATCTTCTTGATTTAATTGTTACCAGTTTTTTTCTTAATTTGTTACCAGTTTCTTCTTATTTAATAAGTTCTACTTGCTTGTTTTATTTGTGATATTTTATTTGTAATATTTAAAAGATCTTTTTTTTTTCTTTGCAATTTTTTACTTGCAAATCCCTTTTTAGTAAAGACATGGTCTGCATTTTTTGTATGATGTTATGCGAGATATTTAACTTTTTTTTAATTACTGTTGCAAACCTAAAAAAATTTTAGTTTTTTTATGACAGAAATAAAACTTCTACACACAGTCACAAACATACCTCATACTACACACGCCACAAACACCAATTAACATTTAAAAAATTTGTGCTGCCAATTTATTCCTGATTTCAGATTTGAGCAAGTGTCTAAAATAACAATTTGATTGATTTTAAATGTAGGTTCAATATTTTTTTAAAACTTTTTTATAATGTACACAAAATAATAACAATTTAAAAATTTTGTTTGTTTTTGTTTTTTATATATTTCATTCATATGTTTAAAGTTGTAACAGTAATATTAACAAAAGAAAAGATTAAAAAAAAACTCATTCATTTACAAGTAGTTTTTATTTATAAAAAAGAATATTTTATAAATAAAAAAATTTCATAATTTGACTTAATACTTATCATGTCATGTCAATCATAATATTAGATCTCTTAATGATCTCTAATAAATTAACTTATTTAATTTATTTTTTTTATTTAGAGTTTCCAAGAGGGATATGAACATGTATTAGTTCAAAATAATAATTTACCTAGTTTTGTAACTTCTTTAAATCATCTTCGAAAACTTATTGAAGAATTTAACTCCCAGTCACCTGTTATAATGACATTAGTAAGTTATTATTATATTATTTATTTATTTTCAATTTTCAGTGGATTTATTCCTAAGTTTATTTTCAGCATAGTGACGGGACATTTGATGGGTTTATTCGCGTCCACATGAATCTAAACAGACCTGTAAATGTTTCTACTGATGTTTCAAATTTGACATTAAGGAAAGCAGTTGCTGCTAAACGGTTATCAGATTCTCGAAGACCTCTTTCAGAAATTTTTAAACCAGAAAGTTCTGATCGTGATTCAGATGCCCATTCGACACCAAATTTTTCTCATGGAAATGAGTTATCAGTTTTAGAAAGAAGAAATACTGTAAGTGATTGGTATAAATGCTGTAAGTGACCAGTATTCCGCTGAATGATTAATAATTTTAATGGTTCTCGAAGATTATTAATTATCTTATGTTATGATTTTCAGGAATTTTAATAATATATTTTATAAATATAAACTATTTTATTTTTAGTTTTTTTTTTTTTTTTTTACAGACATAAATTGTTAGATTATAAAGATTTTATTGTTTTCTTATTTAGAAACCTGCACGAAGACTAAGCTTTTATATGCCAAGAGGAACATATAAACCTTTGCATGTAACTAGTACTACAACTGCACTTGAGGTATCTTAATATATGTTTATATATCTTAATATATGGTTTAGAAGCTAAAGAGTAAACAGAATTGCATATTGTATTTAATACAGTTCAATTTTTTTTATCAGTTTGATTGAAATTGAATGATATCTGTAAATATAAATTCATGTTATAAATAATAGTAATTTTTAGGTGATTAGTGCCCTTTTAACTAAATATAATGTCACTGATAATCCAAAAAAATTTGCACTTTACGAAAAGCATGTTCCAGCAGGAGACAAAAACAATAAAGAAGGTACCATCTTTTATTGATTAGTTAAAGTTTAAATAGAATGATTTAATTTATTTTATTCTGCAATTTATCAATGTTTAATTAGCAACGTTTCGGCGATTAAGAGGCGATGAGAATCCATTACTTTTACGGTTAAATTGGGGGGCATTAAATACTACAGACTCTTTTGTTTTAAAGGAAGATGACGAAGGTCCTATTCAGGTAATTTTAATTATTTCCTTTGGTGTTATTTAAAGTTATGTTTTTAGTTTATGATGTAGTACAGTGCCAGAGTTTAGTGCAGTGCCAGAGTGTCTTGTATGTAATAAGATTAAATAGGTAATACAAAGCTGAACATGTTTCTCCTTGGAGCGACCTGTTTTTCTTGATTCTAAATCCTGTTTCCGAGGTATATTATTTAGAGTAAAAAAACTTTGCACGCTCCATTGTAAATACGCCTTAAACTTTGTTATTGGTAAATTTAAAAAAAATCATTTACCTGTTACCAGTTAGGCTTCATATTCATGCAGGTTTTTATTTTTTATTTATTTTATAATTCAACGAAAATTAATAATAACTTAATATTTATTTCTTTAGTGGACAAATTTTGAGTTACCTGAATTAGCAAATTTTCTTGAGATTTTGCAAATGGAGGAAGATGCTATGTTGGCTCAGGTAATTATGTTAATACTTAAATTGTATTTGATGGTTGTTATGATTTTTGGATTCAATTTATAAATATTTTATAGATATACAAAAGGTTTGAGTTGTATAAGCAATCACTGCAAAAAGCAATCGAGTTAAAAGATCGAATAGTGTGACTGTTAATATTAGTTAGACCATTTGTTAAAATAACAATAAAGCTAAAACACTGTCTTGATCAATTTAATATAGATTACGTCTTCTAAATATTAGATCAGATATGGTCTATTGAGTAATTTATAATTTGGTAGAGTGAGTTTTTAATACTGTGAAATATGTTTTGACAACTGGATTTAAATCAATAACCGTATAATTTTTTATTATTTATAAAATTATTTTTTTAAATTTTTGTTACATTGTTAATTAGTTTGTAAATAATTTTTCTATTGTAAAATTGAATTTAATAACTTTATTTATTTACTTTGAGAAACACGATCCCTTTTAAAAAGAAAGACAAAAAGATGATAATTAAAAAAAAAAAGATGATAATTAAAATGATTTCGATTGTTTTTTTTACTGGAACTTTTTATCAAAACAAAATTCGAGTCTTAGCTAAAAGTGTACACGTTTTTTTATTTAACAAACCAAGCCAATGGACGAGAAGGTTCTCATTTTAATAGGGTTCTTATATTGCAAACTTGAGCTTTTTTAATAGTTTCAGGTTTTCAAAGAGATAAAAAGTAAATAAAAATAATATGAGTCAACTAAAATTATTTTAATATCAATAAAAAAAATATTCAATAAACCTCGGATTTCTCCTTAAACAGAACACGATATTCTTTTAATTTTGTGTTGTACCGCGTAATTCTACCAAAATACAAGAATCCCAGCTTCTAAATATTTTGATTATAAGATGCGCTCTGTTACTAAGAAGTAAATTAAAAAATGAAAAAACAAAAATGGTTGTCATTAATTGTATATTAATAAATAACTAATAAAAGAATTTTAAGGGGCTACCCCCCTCTGTTTTTAAATCTAAGTATTTTAAAAAAAAAATGTTATGGGTTTCTAGGTTTTAGTAAAATATAAACCTTTTTAAAAAAAAAATTGGTGGTTTCCTTGGTAACCAAAAAATACTCCTAAAATGACCAAAAAATAACTTCACGCTGGCCAAAATATAAGAATATGTGTATATATTTACCATTTAAAATTTTAATACAATATTATCATAAAGTAGGGCTGTGAAATGAATGGATCAGATTTTTCATAACATTTTGCCATCATCAAAATGGCGCGATCAAAGATTATAGTCAAAATTTTCATCGATTTTTGGTCATATATATATATTTTTAATAAAATAAATAAATTCCAATCCATTCATTTCACAGAGTATAATATGATAAACACTTCCTGAAAATTTCATACAAAAATGTAATACGGTTCTCCAGATAATTTGGCCGGCGTGCACAAATTTCTATTTTGAGAAAGAGACAATTTAAGTTAAAATTTTTGAAAACAATACAATTTTTTTCATAAAAACTGTTGAAAATCAAACAAAGTTTTCAAAACCCACCAGGAACATACAAGTCACCTTTTTTTCAATTATTTTCTCATTCTTCTTCAGTTTCTTGGCACGTAATACTTGCCTTCTTAACTTTTTAACAGGGTTTATTCTAATTTCTGCTTTTTGTAATCTTTCATTATTTAATGATTTGCATCCTGCAATCATATGAAAGCCTGGTATCATGTCCAGTTGCTTCAAAATATCAATAGATGCTTTTGCTCCAATATTAAAATTGGCAACAGCATCATATACACCAATTGTTAATTGGGTAAGTTATACAAATGTTTGTTTTGGTATACGCTTCCAAATCATTCCATAAAAAGACTCATTGGCATTTTGTGTCTTACCATGCAAACATTTTTGTAACTCAATGTCTTTACTTAAATCCTTAAATAGTTTAAGGATTTAAGTTTAAATACTTTCATTATGACATCCATTGGTAAACCCGGTTTCGGCTTATAAGTTGATGTCTTATTTATTTTATTGGCATTGTATTTGCACCAGCTGTCTGCACCAGTGAGGCAGTGTGGGAAATGTAAGCTATTATTTTTTGAGGAAGCAACATGAAATAGTGATGCCAACACCAGTTGGATCAGATTTTTGGAGGCTTTGAGTTAAATCACAACCTTTACAATATCTGGACATGATTTCAACATTTAAAATTTTGCCACTAGCAGTAGAGATGGCAGAAAAGACTCCGTTGAGTGATGAGTACCCTCGTTTTTGCCATGTTCCATCGCAAGATAAACAAATATTGGTTACTTTCAAAGCTGTATTTTGCAATTTATTAGCAGCATTTAACATTGTTCGTTCTGCTACATTCTTAACAGCTTTTGAAATTACTTTTATCAGTTTTTCAAAATTGTTTTTGGTCATTGGCTTAGGTAGATTCATAATGGTACAAAATTTTTTGATGCCTGCATATCCATGACCTAATAATCGCATACAATAAATTACTTGTTTATTGATATCAAATCCTTTTATATTTGTCATAGTTAGAAGTGTAGAACTTTTGAAAATGGTTACAAGCTCTTTTCATACACTTAAGATATAGTAAGGAAGATAAACCACGTCGTTAAGTATATCTCTCACTTAGTGAGATTGTTGAACAACCACTTTAGGGTTTGCTTGATTGATTCCTTTTCATAATATCGTGAAAGATTCATCAAATGTAAAACATCCCGCCAACTTTTGCTTGACTATTGGCACATGAGGTTACTTAAGCATTCTTGTCGATGTTATACAAAACTAAAATATGCGTTAAAAAAAAGCTCTACAAAATAATTATAAGATGGGGGCGCATTGATCGCCGGAGCAGTATGATCTTTTAGCTTTTACTCGTTTATTTTTGCCTTAATTTAACAGAGATTGCAATTTAATTAACCATTATACTAACCTTCATTGCTTAATCGTAATAATTTTTAATAAGATCAACTTCAGTGTTAAGAAAATTGAAAAGACTGTTTTTCATCATGAAAAGTGATTTTTGAAAGTTGTAAACAAATTCAAATAAATTTTTAATTAAATTTCCGTATGACTTTACAACCAATTTATTGTAAACTCATATGTGTTAAGTTTATAATAAATTTGTTTTTTTGAGTTGGTTACTGTATTTATAGAAGTTATTGGCATCAATATATCAACTGTACCTAATGGGGCACATTGATCGTTGACTATGCGGGGCTCATTGATCGGAGGATCAAAGTGCCCCATATAACTTATATTATAAGACTTAATTTTTTTTTTTAATTTTATACATTTAAACTTATGACGAATAAAAAATCTTTACATAAACTTTTAAAATTTCATTTTTAAAATGTAATAGTGTTAAAAACTAATATTTAATAACATTAGTTTTTAGTTTTACATAAGTTTTTCAATTAGTTTACATAATATTATTATATAAAATATTTTTTTTAAACAATCATTTTTCTTTACTTTTTTTTAAATTTTCAGATCTTTATATGGTTAGGTATAGAAAAAAAAACAGACAGAGTTGCTATATCATGTGATACAATGAAATCAGCTGTTAATGAGCAGACCAGTGAATGTTGTAGCTCACAAGTTTAGCATAAATCGAATGACCTTAAAAAGATATTTTAAAAAAAAGAAGCTCACCCAAATGAATCTTTTAAGCCTAATTACAACAATAAAGAAGTTTTTACTGCAGAAGATGAAAAAAGTTTGTCAAGTTATTTACTACTTGCATCAAAAATGAACTATGGACTTTCAACTAAGTCAACACCATTATTGGCATACGAGTTTGCTGTAAAAAATAATAAGATTTGCCCTTCATCATGGATCATGAATAAAATTGCAGGGATTGATTGGTTGCAAGGTTTTATGAAAAGACAACCAGAGTTGTCTTTACGAACACCTGAAGCAACTAGCTTTGCTCGATCAACTGCCTTTAACCGACACACTGTTGGAGAATTTTTCCAAAATCTAAAAACAGTAAGAAATCGATATAAGCTTGATCCTTATTGCATATATAATGTTGATGAAGCTGGTTTAACAACAGTATAAAAGCCAGTAAAAGTGTTAGCAGGTAAAGGAAGTAAACAAGTAGTTTAAATACCTCACAATTTTGTGAGGTATTCAAACTGTTCTCATGAATCTCCAGTTTTGTTACTTCTGGACAGCCATAAAAGTCATATTTCTGTTAGAGCTTTGGATCTTGCAATTCAACATGGAATTACAATGCTAAGTTTTCCTCCCCATTATACCCATAAATTGCAACCATTGGATAGAACTGCTTTTGGACAATTGAAAAGGTTTTACAATGCTGCGTGTGATAATTGGATGGTCACAAATCCAAGACCTATGACCATTTATGGTATGTATATCAATAGTTCGCGAACCATATACAAAAGCTTTCTCACCATCTAATATACAGAGAGGATTTCAAGTAGGTGGCATTGAGCCATTTAATCCAGAAATTTTTAAAGATGATGAATATTTACCATCATCAGATACAGATCGTGCTGCTCCAAATGTAGTAATCACAATTCTTGTGGAACCTGAAATGACTGTAGCACATGTTGATGGCATGGAGCCTGAAATGCCTGTAAGTACATCATGAAACAAGTTTTTTGAACAAAGTGTCACCAAGCATTGCTTCATTACTCTCACCTGAAGTTTTGAAACCTTACCCAAAAGCATCTGCTAGAAAAAGGAGTGTTAAAAGTAGGCAATTAAAAACAAGGATTTTGACTGATACTCCAATCAGAAATGAAATTCGTTTGTCAGAAGAAAAGAAAACCCTAAAACAAATCAACCAACAAAAGAAACTCATTGCAAAAGATAAAAAAAGGGGAAAAGTTAAAAACTACTTGCTTAGGAACAAAAAACAATGTAATGTAAAAGCAGCATCACGACTTGACTTTGACAAAGGATGATAATATAAAAAAATAATCTTGTTAACTTTAGTTCTAATAAAAGTCTTGTATGAATCTTGTATTTTCTTTGTAAACTTAAAATACTGTATTCTTATAGACTTTATAAGCTTCAAGTTTTGTAAAACTTTTTGTAAAACTATTAACACATATATATGTTAGTAGTATATAACGGGTTTATTTTCATAGATTTTTTTTTTAATTTTACTTTTTTTTTTAGATGTATTATATAATATACACTAATACCCTTCAACTAATGCATTTGTAACACTTAGGTATAGCAGTATTAAACATGTAAATAATGTTACTCATATAAGATCAAAGCGCCCCATATCGGAGATCACAGTACCCCATTGCATGGGGTACATTGATCTTTTGCAAGGGTTGTTGTAATGTTGAAATACACCATGTTCATTAATGT